GTGCCATTCCCACCTAGTTAGATTATTTTTACCGTCAACATATTTTACCCGCTGTTATGTTGCATTTGAAATCTATTATTATTATCATTACATATTTTTATTACACATATTTATATACAGCATTATATGAATTCTACCGAATTGTTGGCATTAATCAATTTAAATTTTGTCTTGGCATTAATCAATTTAAAGTTTGTTTAGTTTATATACATACAATACTGTATAAAATGTGGTCTCCTTCCAATATTTTTATTATTATTAATATATATTTCTATCATTATTATTATCGTTATTCTTCATATTATTTCTGCTATTATTATATTTATGGTTATTATTGTTTATATTATTTATATTAGTTTTACCGGTTCTGAGCCAAAGAATAAAGACTAAGCAATATTATTTTTTCAAAAAAAAAAAATTTGCTAAGTTTGTTTTTCAAACGCAAAACTTAAAACATTAACATCATGACATCGTCTTAACTAGATACATTTACTTATATATAAATATAAATAAATAAATAAATATGCATATATAGAAAAAGTAAGAGAGGGAGAGAAAAAGAGAGAGAGAGAGAACGAAAAAAAAGGAAAATAAAAGAGAAAAAATATATATGTGTATGTGAGTGCGTGTGTGTGTGTGCGTGTGTGCGTGTGCGTGTGTGTGTAGTAACAAAAACCATTGATTCAGTATCTTTTTTGTGCTAAAATATCATTGTTTTATTCTAAACGTGTATTCTTAACTTATATAGTTTATTTAACAAATGGTAAAAAAACAACGGATACATATATAAATATATTTGTGTATGTGTGTGTCTAGGGGTATGTATATGTGTATCTGTATGTCTATGTGTGTATTTGTATATGTGAGTGTGTGTTTGTTTGTGTGTTGTATGTGTGTGCGTGCGTGCATGTGTGTGTGAGTGTGTAACAACTGCAGATGATAACAATACATGCGGCTAACAATATATGTGAAATATACACTGAAGTCTGTTTTACGCTAAACACACCACTTACGTCAAACGTTTTGCGATGATAATAATAATAGGTAATTAAAAAAACATGATAATAAATTAAATGAAATTTTTGAGCAATAAAAAATAAAAATCATAAAACAAATTTAAAGAAATAAATAATTCATCGATTTGGACATTCATCACCATCATGCG